ATAGAGTCTTATCTCATTCGCTTAGCCTCGTTCTTTAGTTTAACTCTCACCTTGATGATTTTCCTTAATCCCTGGTACTTCCGTATTAACTTATAGAGTTGCACGTACAGATTTTCGCAGTCTTTTTGTAACTCTTCCGTTTTCCGGCCTTAAACATCGATTTGCAAAACGAACTTCAAGCAGAAGAAAATAAAATAGCGTCATACTTTTTATAGAGTCGTAAAGACTTTGATCAACTCGGGTTTCCATGGTCCGCCCCATCATTGTTGAACTAAGCAACGCTCCAATTCCTCCGGACGGAGGAGGACATGGTGACGTCTCCTCAAGAAGGTGTATAATTCTAAATGAAATCCTATAGGTTTCTTGAGGTTCTGCGGCAATCGATACACTCTACCCTGTAAGGAAATCTGCGAGAGAACTGATCTTTGACGAAGGTGTCACTCTCAGAAAAGTCATGAGAGTAAATAAATCTGAAGCTACCCTCTGAGGAAATCTTGAGGGAAAAAACAGACAGGAATATGAACGAAAAACTGGCCCATATTCCTGACCTAGGGAACAGATATGGAGGGAAGCTGCTCCAACTAAGAAAGAAAAAACCATTATAAATGAAATAATTAAAATGGTTCGTTTGGAGAGACAGTGAAATCATTCACTCATTCCATGCTTAGGTCTTGGTAAGGTTTCAGCAACCGTGGAGGCTGATCTAATCTAATTTAGTGGAATTTTGTCGTACTCGGAAATTTCAAGCGAAGTGCCTACCTTTTTGTGTTCAATAAAATAAATCGATGATAGAACCCATGGCCTAGCATGAAGCCACGATAGTTGATGTGAGCAAATTTCCCTTGCAAAAACGGTGCAAAGCTGAGAGCTTGCGCGGATCTGCAGTTTTCGCCATGCAAAAAACTTCGTATATTTTCTTTCAATGTTTGCAAATATTCAATGGCTTTTGTCCTTCATACCTCACAACGTATTCATTCGAATCCTCGGCGCCTTCCTGATTTGGCAAGTCAAGTAGCTTCCAATACTGTTTTTCCATAATTACAACCTAAATAATAGTCAACGCTTGAATGAGATCTGTCGATTCACTCATGTTACGTCTTTGGCGCGAGTGCTGAAAAAATGCTGGTCAAGTAGATGTTCTTCCAAAAAGTGATAGTTCGGTTGGAGGCAACCGCCCCGCGCAGACGAACAGGCTGTTGCTTAAAGCAACAATCCAGGAACGAATTCGCGGGTAAGGACCACCTATAATGACGTTGCAGGTGAGAAGTTGGTCAATGGAGAAAGAAAAAGTAGAAAAAAACGTCGGGCAGGGGCTTAGACAGGGACTCCCCCTGCCGTTTAGGGAGACGTGTGTTGGACGAGTTGTCCGAACCTGCCCGTAGTACATGCGCTCCAATTGCAACTGCTGGCAAATAGCCATGCATGCTTGCAAATACATGGCTATTTGCCAGCAATCGTAATTGAAGCGCGTCAGTTGCGTTCTTATAGAATCGACCTCATACAGCGCGGCGGTCCCGCAACGACCGCTAGTCGAGCACGCGCTCTGCACAGCTGCTTGGAGGCGGCCCCACCACGGATCGGTGGATCCGCCGCTCGGGTCAACCCTACGTTGCGCAAAGAACAACGAGGGGGTCGCATTTGGCCGAACGAAAGGGGGGGTCGCATACAGAGGGACCAGGGGGTGAAAGGCTGGGAGGAATGGTCCCAAAAGAGCTGAAGTTACCATAAACTCAATAGTAATCATATTTCAGGCTTGGCTGTTTCGTACCGATCTCCCTGCATGAATTACTACATCGTGAAAAAATCTTTCTGTCTTCAGCACACTTCTATTTAGACCTAGCTTAATTATGAAAAAAATCCTCCTCAATACAATCTCTAAAATAAAAAATCTCCTCAATACACGAGTGAGTCATATTTCATCGCTATCCTCAATACACGGACCGCACTTTTGAAACATTCCTGAAGTCTCAAGGAGATAAAGTGTAGAGCAGTTCATGGGAAAGTAAACAACCATCAAGCCATTCAAACACCACGCCCCCAGCTCTTTGGCTCCTCTCACATCAAGGTACCCCAGGCCTCACTCTCCGGTCCGTCCCCGCAAAACATGACTACATTGCAATTCGATCATGTACTATCACCTTCTTCGGGAAAGTGGAGGACCTTCAAATGCGAGTGCGACTTCCACCCACAGACAGGTGCACGGCGTATACCCGAGCAGGCGTTTTCCCATAAAAACGCCTTCTCTGTGAGCGGCCGTAAGCAGACAAACTTCCTCAAGAAAATTTTGATGCTTTTAAATCAAATCTAAGCGGAACAAAATGTAGCGAACTTGCTGAATTGAATTTCAAAGGCCCCTTATGAAATTGAAGCAGAAGAAAGAATTCCATGAAAAGTTAAAGCTAGTAATAAAGTACTCTTCGCGTAGATTCTAATGGTCTTTACCGCTTCTCATTTAATGAAGTTTGAAGGAAGTTATGGGTTCTTGAATATTGCAATGTCGCGGTTCAGACGAAAGGCTTGAAAAAAAGTCTATGAAATTCAACGGAACGACGGCACTATTTTTTGAACGAGTGATTTTTCAAAAAAGTTTTAGCCCTTATTCGGAAGCTCTAATCTTCTAGTTTCTAATTAGCCTTAGACATTCGCAAAAAGTTGAATACGAAAGGAAGTTATAAATGCTTTAATGTCGGAAACTCGCGCTTTTCCGTAATAGCGCGAGTTTCCGACATTAAAGCATTTATAACTGCTTTAATGTCGGAAACTCGCGCTTTCTCAAAAATCGGACCCCAAACCCTTATCGAACGGAACGACGGGACTATTTTTTGAAAGAATGATCGCTAGAAAATTTTCAGGTGCTTGTTTGAAAGCGCTAATCTTCTAGTTTCTAATTAGCCTTAGACATTTGCAAAAAGTTAATTATGAAGAAAGTTATGAATGTTTGAATGTCGAAAACTCGCGTGTGCACAGAAAACGGAACGACGGTACGATTTTTTTAAATATTGAACATCCGCAACATTTCAAATGTGTTTTTTTTT